CCAAACCAGTTAGGGCATGATCCTTCTTAATTCCTCTATGGAATACCCAAAGATCTGTGCAACATGACTTTAAGTATAGGGGCAAAATAAAACATATTAAGGCCACTATTTGAACAAATTATGATTAAAAGGCATTTTATGGGTACTTCCATATGAAAAAACACTGGGGTGCATTTTTATTAAATCATATAATAATTTTCACATAAATTATTGCCAAGAAAACTCACTCCTAGCTTGGCTTCTCCCTGTTGCCTGACATGCTATGAAAATATCATGTCTTAAAAATAATGATATATGGTTTCATTTCAAGACACTTTTTTAACAAATATCCCCCTAGAGTCTAACAAGAGTTCTGTAAGGGAAGCTGGAGACAGGCTTGATCAGATGCACCTGACCTTTTCTTTTTTTAAGAAAGCTGTTAAGTAACTGGGTTTCAGGGCAGCACCAACTTATCCATGATCCACAGGGCAAATGAGTGTCCCAGTACATAAACCCGGCCCTTTCGACTTCTCATCTTGTTCCCTTTTATTGTCCAATATTAAATGTTCTTCGTCATCTCCATTTAATCAAGCAAATTAACCGTTATTGGGCATTTATTACTTTAGGCATGAGTGCAAGGCAGTGTTGGCTCAGTTTCTACAAGCACTATTTTTAGATAATTTAAGCAAATGCATGTATATGCCAAGCTGAAAATATATTTGGAGGTGTTCGCTGTTTGGAATTCTTCATAGTTCTAAAGTACTTTGCATCCCACATATTATTGTTGTTATCTTTACTCTTATACTCTTGGGTTTACCTGGAAAGGCCCACTTCAAAGTCCACTTAATAAGCTTTTCCAACTCCAGTAGTGTGTTCCCTCTGGCTGGTCAACTGTCTATTAACCACAGGATATTCCCGTAACAACCTTGTCCTTGGCTTAGGGCAGCAGTCACGCTTCAACTTTAACCATGTCTATTTTTGTATTGTCTTTCAGGGAATGGACAGCTTAGACACATGCATTTCATTAACACTCAAGTTTAAATTTCCTCTGCACTGTCCAACCCCTCTGAAGATTCTAGCCCTGGGCTCTATTATGACACCCACCCTAACAAAATTGCTTCTCTCCCTCTCAGAGGTGTGGCTAAGACGACTTGCCTTTGGGTAAGGTTTATATTTAGAAGAGCAGAGAGCTCTTTCGGCGGGAGCTTCTGGGAATACAAGTGCCAAGTATGCAGGGGTGGCCTGCTTCTTAGGCGACTGGTGTTTTTGGCTGATTCATAATCCCTAAGCTACCACCTTCCCCATCTCAATGCTCAGAAAGGGGGCACACAATGAGTGGTGTTAGCTGAGAGCCCCCATTCTGGGCCTGAGCCTTTGTCAACTGCCAGGTGAGTTGGCCAAGGGTAAGGCAGCTAGAAATACACTAACTTTGGAAAGAAGCAGAAAGAAAGTTCTAGTGAGTGTTCTTGTTTATCTTCATAAGTTGGTGATGATGATGATGATGACAATTTGATGAGAGGCTTTTTGTATTGTATTTTAGAGTGTCTGTAAAACAATGTTACACAAGTTATCTCATAACATAAAGTTATGTTATATGACAGTGGGCCCTTTGGGCTATTTGGTTTTTTTTTTTTTAAATTACATAATCAATAAGGAGAAGAAAAGCACTCTGATTTCTAAAAATTGGGTGAAGGATATAAAAAGGTAACTTGCAAAAGTAAAACAAGCAACTGATTAAGTATATGAAAAATTGTTAATAATCATAACAACAGTCAAGTTAAACCAACCAGATGCCATTTTACTCACCAGAGTAGCAAACATTTTAAATTATCTAAGTACCCTGTGTTGAGGTACTGACTTAAGTTGCAAATAATAAAAAAACAAACAAAAAGCCTAGTTCAAAGTTCAATGTAACTGATACAAATGAAATGTACAGACTCAGACCCCAGAGTCCATGGGGAATCTGGATCCAGGCAGACCTTGGCCTGGGGCTCAGCTGACCCTATCATAACACCATTTGTTGGCCGATGATTGCTCTATTTTGGTGTCACCTTTGCTCCACATAATGGCAAGACCGTGTCAGAGTCCACGCCTCTCTGTGCTCCCATAGCTCAAGTCCAGTATGAAGCAAGCAAGCAAAAAAAATCAAAAAAAAAATCAGTATTATCTCTAGAAGTGCAAACAATGGTGTCGTTGCCAGGCGGTGGCTCTGAGCAGGTCACCTCAGGCAGCAGGCTGTGTGCACTTACTGGGTCAGGCCTGCCTGGGTCACAGCCACAACCGCATGGACCCTAACTGGGAGGCAGCAGTTTCCCAGAGATGAGTTAGGCGACTGCTCCAGAGAGGTGAGGAGGTGCCAGGAGAGGAACAACTGATGAATATTCCAGCCAGCCTAAGTGGCAAAATGATCCCTCCCATGTGCTGGGGAGAAAGTCAGCATAGGAATAGCCTTTCTGGAAGTGAATTTCACAATGTAGAGCATGAAACCTCCCAAAATACCCACACATTTCTACCTTATTTCTAAAAGGTTATTCTACCAAAATAATTGAATATGTGTGCAGAAATCTGCATACAAAAATAACATGGAAGAGGGAATACTAAACTACAAATAATATGACATACCAACTCACATGAGAAGATAGCTATAAATAGGAAACGTAAGTAATAAAAATATCTATGATTAATAATATCTTTGTTAAATGTGTAAGTAGACGTTTAGAAAAATAAATGGAAGATTAAACAAAAGACCTTTAAAAATAGCCATTCTGAATGATGAGATTATAGACAATATGTAGTTTCTCATTTTCTGCTTACTTGCACCTCCAATTTTCCTAGCATGAACATATATAATTTTTTTCCAAAAAGAGAATATTGTAGTGGCCATGGTCCAGGGCACTTCTGACTTCTAATCTTCAGCATTAGTAGATTTGTATGTGGTGATGATTATGGCTCAGAAGAACAATGAAGGGTGAAGGGATAGATGGAGGGGAGTTGTGGTTTAGAAAATGAAAGCTGTTAAGCCCAGATATCAGGATTCCCAAAAGACCACCAGGGAGCCAGCCGAGTCCGATGCAAAAGCAAAAGAGTCTTTATTCGAGCTAGCTCGAGCTCCCCGTCCACCACACTCACCGACTGAGCGGCAGGAGGCAGAGAGAAAGAGAGAGAGCTCTGTGGGGAGAGGGTTTTTATAAGGGGGTTGGATTAAGGGGAGGAGAGAGGACTGTGGGCCCTGCCAATTGGCCAGGCGCAAGTCTGGGTCTTGTTACACAGGATGTGGTTGTGTCTATGGTGTGCACTTCCCTTGATTGTCATTAGTTAGTTTAAAGAAATCCTAGGTGTGGCTAGCAGAGGCTTGGGCTTCCAGGAAGAAGCTCCTTGCTTAGCACATGGCTAATGGCTGCTGCCCAAAAATGGAGGATCCAGGGCAAGATGGAGGGCGTAGCCCTCGCCCTTTCAAAAGCTTCTTCTTGAAGAAATTATCTCTCTTTAGAAACACAAGTTTTACCCAAGTTGTGTTTGTCTTAGCCATACATCTGAGAAATAAGTAAACAGCACTGTGGTGCCATCATCCTAAGTCAACACCAACCCCTAAGGGCTGCACAGACAAAACACCACTCTACCAGGATTCATGGGAAACAGTGTCCAGAATCATCCTAATTCCCTGAAAATTTCATGGAATGGAGAGAGAGAGAAATAAGGTCAAAACCACTGGTTTGTTGAAACTAGAGCTACTCAACTGGATGGCTTACTGAATCAAATTTAAACCAGGAATTTTCAATTCTGAAATGGTTGGCAGGTTGCCTAAAAGAATCAAAGTATGTACTGTGTACCTATTAGGATACTCAGATCGGACGCAGGCACTTTAAAATGCCAGGCACTCTGGAACATTCAGACAGAGTTGATTTTTAACTAATGTTGATAGAAGGCTGATTGTTTTAGAGCTGCTTTGCAGGGAGTCCTTTCCAAACATAAGTTTCTACCAACACATACCCAGAGGCACTCCCACTCCTGGGCTCCTTGCCCTGAGGTGCCTGGGAAACACTGAGCATTCAAAGGATGTGTCCTGACTTATTATGGCCTGGCTCCTTCCCCAAAACTCTATGTTCAGTAGCTTTTTCCAGTGGTGCCCGGTCCTTCCTAACTTCCCAATCACACTCATACTGGACGTCTTGTAGATAATCCACTCACCACAGGAGACTGTAGCCAACAAGCAAATGAAAGAAGCTGCTTGCCTGAAGGGAACCATCCTAAAAGAAAAAGCAGCACATGTGTGAGTGCTGGTAAGGGCTATTGAGCATGAGCCTTAATCTAAGTGACATAGAGTTTCTCCTCAACGTGTGGATGGTGGATCTCAGCACACAATTACCATATAGAGAACATGGGTTTCTACACATTTTGTGCCCCAGACTCGAAGCAAATTGAGACATCCAGAGGAATACTTGCGTTCATTGCTCATTTGTGACCTGTGTTGTTCATAATTATGGAAAGGGAGCTGGTAGAAGGGAACTAAACAGTTGTGAACCCTCTTGAGTTGAGCACAAAGAATATTATTGTAAATAATGGCAATAATATCATTCCAGATTCTCCAAGTAAAGCTCTCAAAATATTCAAGCGCATTTGTTAATTTTGAAATCAGTCAATATTCTTTGAGTTTTAAATAGCTAACACGTAAATATTTTCACATATAAGAACACCAGTTTCTTCAACACTTTCTAAATAAGCAGGCAATTAAAACAAATTAGTAGCTTCTTCATAATGTAAAAAATAGGCTTAATTTTTTAAAAACCTGCTTTATTTGGAAGCAATGGGAATAATAGAAATTCTCTACCTGAAGGCACAGCTGCTTCTGAGCTTCTGGGCCGAGGGTCTCCTGCCTCTGACGAAGGGCCCCCGTCGGCAGCCTCCCTGCTGGGCTCTGCAGGCCGTGTGCACTTGCCTTCGCTATTGACTTTAGCTTTCTGCCAACAGTTTCAGCGTTTTATCCTGTCAACATGGTCCATGAACATGCCATTCCTGTATCCAGCTACTGAATATCAGTGATGGCGAACCTTTTGAGCTCAGCATCTCTGCAGGCTGTGCACTTGCCTTCGCTATTGACTTTAGCTTTCTGCCAACAGTTTCAGCGTTTTATCCTGTCAACATGGTCCATGAACATGCCATTCCTGTATCCAGCTACTGAATATCAGTGATGGCGAACCTTTTGAGCTCAGCATATCAGCATTTTGAAAAACCCTAACTTAACTCTGGTGCCGTGTCACATATAGAAATTTTTTAATATTTGCAACCATAGTAAAACAAAAATTTATATTTTTGATATTTATTTTATATATTTAAATGCCATTTAACAAAGAAAAATCAACCAAAAAAATGAGTTCGCGTGTCACCTCTGACGCGCGTGTCATAGGTTCACCATCACTGA